ATAATGATTTTAGTAGGCTATTTTAAAATTTTAGCGAGTGCCAACATTTGAAAAAAAATAATTCTTTAATAATTAATATACTATTTACAAATAAGAAATTTGTACTCGTCCCAGTGAAAACCAAACACCCTTTACAAATGAAAATGTCATATTTGAAAAACATTTCTAGAAAATCATATTTTTTTTGTTTTTGTTTTTGCAAAAAATATTTTTCAAAACTGATGGATTAAGATTTAAAAACACTAAAAAAAATATTTTTGTGGACCGTTTTTAACAGCTTAAAACTTTCCCAACTCCTCATTAAACATCATAATATTAACAATACAAAAACGTTACATTCCGAACTCCATTACTTACATAAAGCCATTTCAAAATAGCTTCTTATCCCTCTCTTTAAAACAAAAGTGGTTGCACTGAAAACTTTCCGGATAAAAATCAAAATTGGCGATTTGGTCGAGGTGAAAATAAACGCTGGCCGCTTCTTTTCGAAAGCAGAAGGAAGTGTGTCTGAAGCGAACAGAATCAAAGTTAATTTAGATTGGCACGAAATACGTTCTATAAATAGACGGTAAATTTCCGCGTGTGTCCTTATAATAATATGTATACAGTGACTGGCAAAAGTATGGAACAAACACAGAGAATTGAAGTTTTCATTATCATAGGATGTGGCAATAAAACAAAAACACAACAAGAAGTTTGAAATTTACTTAAAGCAGTATTTAAAGCGAGTATTAGTGAAAACACTAAAATTGACATTTTGTTACGTGTGGAAGAAGATCCTCATAGGGCTTCTAGCCTAGTCGCAGCTGAAAGTCAAGTCAGCAAACGCTCGGTACAATAATCCACAATTTCCTCGTAAAATACTTTTTTTGGACGAAGCTACCTTCTTTTTGAATGGTACAGTCAACCGTCAATATTGTAGGTACTGGAGCCGAGAAAATCCTCATTGGGTAGTAGAGGCAAACTACCAATACCGGCAAAAAGTGAATGTCTGGGAAGGAATGGTGGAAAATCGGATCATAGGTCCTTTCTTCTTTGACGAGAATATGACAGGAAAAACGTATTTGGAATTTTTCCAAAACTCTCTTCTTCCCACATTAGCAAAAATGTTTCCCAATTATAATGGAGGTCCCGATCTACCAAGTGATACCATGGTGAGATCTGGAGATCTCGCTGGCCACTCTATCGGTCCTCGTATGCCAATCCACCTCTCACGAAAACATGTGTCCAAAAAAGTACGGACAGGACGCGCATAGTGCGAAGGTGCCCTGTCCTGTTGAAACCAAATGCATTTGGTTTCAACAGGACAGGGCACCTTCGAAAATTTTAAATATTTAAAAAAATTTGAATATGAAGAAATCTGAAAATTAAGGAATTTTGGACATTTTTTAAAAGTATGCCCACTGTGCAAATTTATCATACCACTTTTGCACATTGTGCGAATTTTCCCCACTATTATTTTAATTTATGCCACTGCAAATTTTTCCTATAATTTTAAAAATGTATGCTACTGTGCGAATTTTCCCGCTATTTTAAAATTTTGATCCACAGTGCAGATGTGTCCTACCATTTTTTTAAATTTATGCATGTATTTTAATTATCCAACTTTATTCGAATTTTGGTAGTTTTGAATTTCCCAACAAAATTAATTTTAATGTGCGGTTTTCAACTACCCGGTCTTAAGTATATTAAATGTAAGGTTCACCTCTGCTACTTCATGCTCCCCTACATAAGTATTAACATTAAAAAATAAACTTGGAACATTGTGTTTTGTTGTTTTTTGCTTCAATACAATATTATTTTTGATGTGTAACTGATTCATCCTGTTTAGAGCTCGGTTTCCGCTTTCCAAAAGCGATATAAAATTCATCTTATCCATGCCGTTTCCGGAACAAATATGGCTGTCTTGATAAAAAAAGACTCGACGAATGTGTTGTCAATAAACAAAACTATAAAGTAGGCAACATTTAAATTACTTACTCTTTTAACTATGTGTTTTAAAAGCTCATAAATTTTCCACTTTTATTTTTTCACCATACCATATAAACTGTATGTATGGATTAAAACACAGACCAGTGGTATTAACCTATAAGCTCCCCTCAAACACACCCTTATTATCTGTATTAAATCTAAAAGCAAGTCCCCCAAGTGCATCAAATTAACCAAGTACGCTAATAAAAAAGACCCTTGTATGTTCTAAATATTTACAGTATATTATATTACTGAATAAAATTTAATATAAAGGGAATTTCACTGCTAATGTTTTATAATTAAATATAATAAAAAAATACACAAAAATAATGAAAAATTATTATTACAAGCCATTCAGTTGGCTTATGGGACTTCTTAAGAAGTAATGGTGGAACTAAAACAGCACTTTTGTATATAAACTTTTTTTTGTATATAAAAACCTATAGGTTAAGTCTTAAGTAAATGATTCATTGTGGGGTTTATTGATAAAAATTACAATCGGTGCATTTTGTAAATAGTTCAACCAAGGTTAAAACTATTTAATTAGTTAAAAGGCGCAACAGATTTAATTGACTTTAACTAGAACCGTTCTAGAAAAATAGCATCGTTCCATTTTGCAATACTATACAAACATACAATTACAATAAGTGGACGTCACACGTGCGAAACCATTTTCATGCGCATATTTTAAATTTTTACTGTAAAAAACTGTATATTTATCACCCAATTTTAAGGTTAATTTACCAAACCCACAAATTAACCTTAAAATTGACATTTGACAGTTTGATGAGTCATCAATGATGGCAGCCCTGATAGAATAAGGTTTATTTTTTACAAAAGAGGAGTACAATTTTTGCCCTTGGCACTCTTTTAAGGCTTACAAAAAAACAACGTTTAAAACCCGAAGCACAAGAATTGTAAACAATATAAAAATGGCCGCCGTTAAAGTCCGTGCATTGGGTTGCATAACTTCGTGATTTTTAGTATGAGCGAAACGTAAATTTTTTGCCCTTAGCACTCTTTTAAGGCTTACAAGAAAACAACGTTTAAAACCCGAAGCACAAAAATTGTAAACAATATAAAAATGGCCGCCGTTAAAGTCTGTGCATTGGGTTTCCTAACTTCGTGATTTTTAGTATTAGCGAAACAAGATAAAACAGACTTTGTTGTGTGGATTGTGGGTGTGAGTCAGTGATGCCAACCGTACCATAATTATGGTATTTGTACCATAATTTTAAAGGTCTTCCATTTTTATAGCGTACCATAATTGTACCATAATTTCTTTTTTTACAATATTGTTTTAACATAATTTAAGTATTATAATTTTTAAGCATGCTTTTGCACTGAAAATAAATTAGGCAACATTGCGATCAGTCCTACCAGTACAGTATTAAATTTTCACCATCAGCTGTTAATGAAAATTAATGTTCTAGGTTAGCAGCAGTTATAACTGTTATGTTCTTTTCTATTCAAACTTTTGTTTTTCACCTGTGTGGTTTTTAAGAAAAGATAGAGAGCGGCATAAAAATTAAAAAAAAAAATTGTATAAATTTTGACCCCTCAGAAAAAATGTGCAAATACATAACTAAAGATAATTTATTCAATAATCAAGACTTTGATGAATGCGATATTATTTTTAATTAAAAGTGTTAATTTATTAAATTTAAAATAATTTATTAATTTTTTAACAAAGTTTATTTTTTTGTTTGTACCTAAGGGGTTCATTAATTACGTGAGACAATTTTGGCGATTTTTCGACCCCCCCCTCCCCTTGGTGAGATGTCGTGAGATTTTGCTCGACCCCCTCTCCCCCCCCTTAATCTCACGTGAGATTTTTTAAAATGCATGGTTTTAATGTAAATAAGTTAATCTGTGCTTGATTCCATTTATTTATAAAAAAAACAATTAGCTTATAATTGTTTACTTAATTTAACCCAGTTTTCTCGCAATTTTACACTTTCTTTCGGAAAAAAAAATTACGTGATATTTGCCGAGAACCCCCCTCCCCCCACGTGAGATTTGGTGAGGTTTGGCTCGACCCCCTCCCCCCCCTAAACACCTCACGTAATTAATGAACGGCCCATCATTTATTTTATTTCATCAAAGTTTGTGTTAAAATAAATATGATTTTCTTAAAGTGCCTAGTTGTTTGAATTTTAGTCCTAAAATATAGTTTGGGTTAAAATAAATATGACTTTTCTTAAAGTGCCTAGTTGTTTGAATTTTAGTCCTAAAATATACAATAATTTGAGCCATAATATTTGTTTGGTTCGTACCATAATGTACCATAATTTTTCTAAATGTGTACCTAAGACAATGTCTTAGATGTGTACCATAATTTTTATTTTGAGTTTGGAAACACTAGTGTGAGTAGAAAATTTACTGTAAATATAAAAAACAATGCATAACAATTTAAGAATACCATTAAAATAATCTCATGAATTTTAAGTACTTACTTAAAGCAAATTAATTATATTCAGAAATTTAATAATAAAATTCCTCTTGAAATTGTTTGGAACGTAATTATTCGCGATTTTAAAGTCGTTCACCTCTGTTCTTAAGTAGAAAACAAGAAATACGGTAATTTTGGGATATTTACATAGTTCAAAAATGATAATAAATTAATTCATTGTTTTAATGTTTAATTACGTTAATTTAGCAGTAAAATTAGTCAAAAGCGGTTTTGTTAGTTAAATAAACAAAGCAACAAAAATTAACCACCATAATATTTTATTTCTCAATTTTTACTAATTTTGTTTGGTCAAATAACATTATATTTATAATTGCTTTTTAAGGAAATAGATATATTGACAATGGAAATTTTCAAAACATCTTGAAAAATAAATTTGATTGTTATATAAAAATATATGGATCAGGCTACAAAATACTACAAAAATTGTCAAACCAATTTAAAAATGCTAAAATGTTAGGGTTGTACCCACATATGACTTGTACATTTATTTCGTTGCCAGTTTATTAAGATAAGATAAAAAAATATTAATATTGTAAAGTTTATATCTTAAACTTACCTGTATTTGAAGTAGAACTTCAGTTTTTCTTCTTCTTATTTCTATTAATATTTTTTGTTTCTCTGGGGTTAGATCTAAAAGAAAAAATGCTATTTTTAGATACATTTTAAACAAAGATTCTATATTTACATTTCTACCGCAAACTATAACAAATTGTGATGCACAGAACCTTAAATAGGGCAAATATATTAACAAAATTGCTTAATTCCCCTCTAAATATACAATAACAGTACAATTTATCACCCAAACGACATCCAAAATTTTGTAAACAATGCAATTTATTTTTAGGTTAATTTCACATATCTTGATTACTCACAGGTTTTCCCAGGCTCTCTAACTCACATATAAAGTATAAATAACCACATTTCACCTCTAATAACACCACAAACCCCATAATTACCCCTTTTATCCACAATTAAGACTTTCAAAACAATCTCCAGAAACCTTTAAATCCTTACCGTTTATATCGAACGTATCCAGGCTATGTCCCGAAGTGCTCATCATAAAAATTCCGAGTTAAACTCACTCACACGGCACAAAAACCACACGAAAACATTATTTTTAAGTCGGAAATAATAAAAATATTACAAGTATAAATAATGACAGCACGCCATATTTGATAACCTCGTCAACGTTGTCAGATTTAATGCGCGTGCGCGCGCCTCCAAATGTCACTCTGAGGAGTCTAAAATATGATTTTAGGGTGTAATTAACAACAATTATTAAAAATTATGATAAAAAACATTATCACGTTTGTTTAAAGTTTAAATGTAGTGGATATATTTAATAAAATTATTAAAAGGGCACTTTAAAGTATGTGGCGTCATCTGTTAACGGTGTTTATAATCGAAACGAAATACAACATAATGAATTTAAATCGTTTATGTACATTAAATAAGTATATTTTTAAAGAGGTTTATTATTATAAGTATCAATTTCTTTAATGGATAGAATATTATAATTAATAAAATAATAATAAATTTGGCATATACTATCGCTAACAAAAAAAACTCATACAGCTTAAAAATCTAGTGTTCCTGATTTTCTATCATTTCGTTGGAGTAATTATGGCTTTTATCATGATACGTCGCATTTGAAAGGTCTAAAATTAAATAAAAGTTAGGTTGAAGTTTGAAAAAAAAAATAATAATTCGTAATCCCTCTGTTTTTGTCAATTGCTGCCCGCAAACGGCAAAGCATGGAAGTCGCCGTCTTGCTTTATCTCGTTCCAAATGGCTTCAATGGCTTGCCAGAGTTCGTCTGCATTGTTTGCTTGAAAATGTTAAAAAAGTCATAATGGATGTGACAAAGCTCGATGTCAGCTTGACATTGACGGAAAAGTTTTATTCACACAGCCACAATATAGCTGTATGAGTTTTTTTTGTTAGCGATAGTACTTACCGGTACGTATATGAAATTTGGTGCATTAGACGTCATCTAGCGACGAGTAGCCGAACCTCGGTGATGGCAATGTTGCAAACCGCGGCGATAAATGTCATTTTTTAACCTAACATCTGTCAGAATTTGGTACGCCCATGTGTGGTGTGGGTAAATATTTTAATTCTGGTCAACACAAGCGTAATTTCTTATAAATGCAGACCAGTGCGGGAATTTACGAATAGCCGGCGAGTGTTTTTTTAATTTAAAATAATTTGGCATTGGTGTCGGGTGCGTGAAATAATAAAATGCCGGCTGAAAATGAAAATTTGAGTCCCATTCATGTGGAGAGCGCTATTCCCAAAGATAGGTGAGCTTTTGTGTATTAAAAGGGGTTGTAATAGGGTGCGTAATATTGTATAACATCTGTTAAAATTGTGTATAATTTTTTGCTTTGGAATTTTATTGATTTTAGTTGTAATATCTGAGTTCAGTGCAATTAGTTTTACATAAATAATGAATAAGATTTTATTGAACGGTTATTTACTTGTATTTTGTTAAAAATACATTAATTTAATTGAAAGGGGAAACAAGCGGTTTCAACCCAATATAATGTTTTAAAACTTAATTAAGTTTAAATGAAGTCATTTATTAATAGGTATATCGCCTATTATTTAATTAATTCACAAATTTTATAAAAATAATCTACAATTTTTTATGCATTTCCGTCAAATCCATTTTTGTATCTAAAACAAATAAGATAGAGGTATTTGTGGTAAACAAATAATTTATTTTAACTTTTTTCTTAGAATTCTACAATATAGCGTATTTATCTGGAAATGTTTATTAAAATATATATGTATATCGATAACGTACGTTATATAGGTATATACCTATATATATACCTATATATATACATATATGTAGGTATATAATTATAATTATAAAACATACGTATGTTTTATAATTATAATTATATATATATAATTATAATTATATATATATAATATAAACCTATACCTATATATATACATATATGTAGGTATACCTACATATATGTATATCCCAACTAGCACCAAAGTAGCAATAACGGAGCTTCAAGGAGACCGGAACTTTATCGGAGACGTCGTTACGTAGTTACTCCCAATTTACTTACTTTATAGTTTAAAATACTTTAAACTAAATTTTTGTGGTCACAAGCACCAAACTTTCACCGTCACTTACTACTTTATTAGTTTCGTGACCTATAAGTAGTTTGCTAGGTAGACCTTACGTCGTTATTACCAGCTGGAATACTAAAAAGTTTCTGGAACTTTGAAGTTTTATTCGGAAGTAATTTAAACTTGACATTGCCACCAAAATATTACTTTAAAGTCGGCATTACATCAAAGTAATTTTTATTGTTTTGGTATCGTCGCAGATACCTGCAATACTACTTTAAAGTAATTTAACTTTGTTTATAATATTGCTTAGTGATGACTACGTTTTTGCGACTTCTGGTTTGGAACTTTAATCTCTAATTTACTACAAAGTTCGAATAACCGATAGAATTCACTTTAGGGTTATTAAAACTATATGGTCAACGTGATTCACATTAAGCGTTAACGCCATAGAGTATAGTAACGCATGCGCATGCTGGCCAGTCTCGATGTGAATGTTTTTGACATTTATTAAGTGTGTTATTCTTTTTCTATGTGTGGACCAAAAAAATAAAGTTAAAGCAGCAGTGTTGGCAATTCAATTTATTTATTTAGCACTTGACTATAATATTATTCATATTTTTTATATAAAAAAATATACTAACTCTTCTTCTGCATCCGTGTTTATACAGTCTGATAACTGTTTTTCAATTTTTAGAGCCTCCGTGAAATTATCTAATTCAGTGCATTTAACAATACACGGATATTTTGCCCAATTGTCTTCGGGCAAGGAGGCTGCATTTGAGCGAAGCTGTTCTCTATATTTGAAATTTAAATGCCCCGGCCAAGAAAGCGTACCTCCTTGCTCCCACCGGCATGGCACAACAGAAAAATAAATACCCTGCTTTTCTTTGGTGGATACTATTTTAAAATATGAATTGAGACTTGAAAACGACTAAAACAAAATACCTAATTAAAGTATTTGAACGAAAATATTGTGTAGCTTACTTACCTTTTCCATTTTTAATCAATTAACACTGTGCACAAAAATCTAACGAACGTATCAATCTTGCATCAGCTGTAAAAGTTAGGTTAGATTAGGCTAGTTCTCGAAATCGCCGCCAAAATTTTTAAGTGACAACTGGAACTATGAAGTGGCAAAACAGGTGAAGGCAACTTTGTTGTTACTTCATCGTAATATAATGGTTCCATTGGGAACTTTGCAAACAAAATTACTTTGTAGTGTCACTTTATTCGTAGCCGCCTGTAACTATGCAGTATAAGTGTTTTGAAAGTAAAATTGTATGGTTTATCCCACTTTAAAGTTATTAAACATGAAATCAGCCATTTTTATTCTTAGATTGACAGCGCCATTTCGGTTTGCTATTAATTAATTTTAAAAAAATCACTTTTAAGGGTATAAAAAACAAAAATTCTTTTCTGAAATATTCATTTTAAAGTAACAAAACAAAAAAACATGCTTTCTTGCACGTATGGTTCTATATTGTCAAAACATTATTTACCTCCAAGGTAACAATATTAATGAAAAAATTCACCTTTGAATGTCCCGTTCTGGATTTAAGAGTATTGTGTTATATTAGACAGTAAATTTACATTCGTTTGTGTTTTACCCCTCAGGCCATCGCGAATTTGACAAGTCTAAATTTCTTATAATGCTTGATTATATTATGTATGCGTCAATCCATGTTCAGACTTTAACGAATAACAGCACCATCATTGTAGAATGAAATAGAATGAGTTTTATATTTTGATGAAAAGAAATAGCAATAGACAGCTGTAGTTTAAAAAGAGTAGGAGAATGGCGTGGTTACTATAAAGTTGCAGGAACCACTTTGGCCCGTTGCCAACACCAACCTACTACTTAATGAGAACGTAGCCGCCTTGGTTTCTGGAACGTCTTAGATACGTAACCTAAACTAAAAAATCATTCCCCATTTAGGGTCTGCTTACGAAGCTGGAACGTTCTTGCTACGTGCCTGTAGATGGTAATAATCTCTTTTAAAGTAGCCATTGTGGTCGAGTTTACGTAGCAAACACTTTAAATGCTAGTTGGGATATATAGGTATAGGTTTTGTTGCCTTTTGATTACACTGGTTTACAAATTAAAATTAAAAAAATGTACCTTCGCTGTCACTATTTTTTTCTAATGTATTGTGACCTGTTAAACTTAAAAATCACAAAAAAAAAAAAAATTTATGGCAAGGTTTTTGAGATAAAATTTGTTCTTTAATATTTTGGTTCTTTAAGAAAGCAGCTTTACAATTTGGGTCATATCTCGGGTTAGAAATGGCCAATCTGGTTGAAAAAAGTTTAAAATTAAACATATTTGAGTCGCCAACAAATATCACCTTATTAGTACCCAATCAGTTAATAAGCTTAAGTTCAATGGGCTCAAATATTGGAAAAAGTCGTTTTTTTTTGGAGAAAAATGAGAATGTAACATTATTTTCTTTGCCAAGGATGAATACAAATCAACAAAATATGTCAATTTTTAAATTATCTACGTGGAGTTCAAACTGTTATAAAGAAAACAAGATATTTTTAAAACAAATCTATTGATAATTATTATAATTAAAGGGGTTAATGCAAAAAGTGGACAGGTAAATTTTTTTCCGAAATTAAGTTTTTTGCAAAAAAAAAGGTTCTATTTGCCTAATAGAACCTTTTTACTGTTAAATAAATTTTATTTTATATTTTAATATTAAAATACAGTGTGTTCCTTTTAAAACTAACCCCCCTAAATTCTCGGAAACTAGAAGTATTTTAAAAAACGCAGAGACAGGTAAAGTTTTATATCGAGGGGGAAAACTTTTTAAGGCAAATTTGGTTTCCCACCTTTACCTTCTGCGCCCCGGAGTTACCCCCTTAAGAATTTAAATAGAGAAGGGGTACAGAGTACTACATTATTTTAAAGGTCTTAAAAATCCCGGCATTTTATTTTTTTTAAATTGGTCAGTTCATTTTTTAGATATGTACAATTAAGGGGAAAGCTCCTCGGCATAGCATTAATAGCATTAATGGCAAAATTTGTTGTCTCCCTCGATATAAAACTTTATGTGTCTCGTGAGTTTTCAAAATTCTTTTAGTTTCCGAAAAATTCAGGATGTTTCATTTTAAATGGAACACTCTATATATCATTATAATATAATTTAATATACAATACTATTGTAAATTAAAAATAATTTAGGTTTTTAGATTGCCTTCTGTTTTCGTTATCTGATTCCCTTACAAGGAACCAAATATAATCCCCCATCATTCTTTCATTCCAAAAGCCCTGATAGCGCCGCTCCATCCCAGATAACACAATACATGCCAGAAACATACAATTTATGTACTATTTATGCCCCAATGTTTCGGACTTAAATCGTATATCCCTGCGATGTTTCCTCAGTAACATTTCTGGTGTGATTTCCCCAAGATGTTGCATAAACATTTTAAATAGCTGATATTGGTACAAATATAAAATAAATTTATATCAAAACACATAACACACTATTAAAAAAATAACCAATCAATTTTTAGCAAAACACCAAATTATTATACTTTGTAATTTTTAAATTGAACGCGAACAATGACGTCATACTAGTTACTTTTTAAGTGATTGTTACCTGGGGAATTTTGTTTTGTTTTGTAACCAACTTGTTACAAATATTAAATAAATTTATATTAAAACACATACACTTTATTAAAAAAAATAACCTATCAATTTAGCAAAAACGCCAAGATGTTGCATAAACCTTTTAAATAGCTGATATTGGTACAAATATAAAATAAATTTATATCAAAACACATAACACACTCTATTAAAAAAATAACCAATCAATTTTTAGCAAAACACCAAATTATTATACTTTGTAATTTTTAAATTGACCGCGAAAAATGACCTCGTACTAGTTACTTTTTAAGTGATTTTTACCTGGGGAATTTTGTTTTGTTTTGTAACCAACTTGTTACAAATATTAAATAAATTTATATCAAAACTATATACCTATATATATATGATCAAAACACATAACACACTTTATTAAAAAAAAATAACCTATCAATTTAGCAAAACCACCAAATTCTTATAATATCAATAACTTTGTAATTTTTAAATTGACCGCGAACAATGTCGTCATACTAGATATTTTTTAATTGATTGTTACCTGGGGAATTTTGTTTTGTAACCAACGGCATCTCTGTAGGTTCGCGGCTTTTATTGCCAAGAATGACATTTCGTGAAAATCGAGAACGTTCTGTGTCGAGAATTTTCTTCTCGTTTTATAATGTGATCACAGTAATTTAAGACTTAAATTAAATTTTAAGTTGTACACTTTAAGTTATTGTTTTGTGTGGGTGGCCTGAGGCGTCTTTTTTGGTAAGTAAATTATGATGATTTGGTAAGAAAACATTATAAATATTATTATAATTAAATTCTATATTAGTTTCTTTTTTAAGGTTTTATTTTTTGTGGGTATTGGTGGCAATAACCTGTATGATTTTATTTCAGACCAGGTCGCACAACAGTTTTCCTTTATTGGGAAAAAGGGCAAAAAAGATTTTAGCCAATCCAAGATTTCTAAAGCTGTTTTAGGTAATAACTCGTCGAATCCGCAAAACCTCGTATGAAAAAAACTGTAGTTTTACAGGAGACGAAAAAAACATTAAAAGCTCTCATATCTGGCTTTTTTTAAATATACCTATAGAACAAATTAATTTGTTTTTAAGGGTCTTGAGATTATCTTGGGAGATAAGAGGTTTTACAATCATGTGCATTATTATATCGACCCATGCAACGAAGACTATAGTAACTCAAAAAACGTGGGTTTTGACTTACTATATGGCATCAACAGATTTTTTCAAGCTCTATTTGGTGGAAGATTACAGTAACTCAGACATGAAACGATAGGCAACCAGTGAACAACTTCCCTGTATAGTAAGTGTAATAATCCACATTCCTACAGGCGAAAACTAAGTTGAGTTACTCTAGTCTACAATCAAAACTGAGTTACAATAGTCTTCGTTGTATGGGTAGATATGAGGTAAGTACTTAATTATGCAAAAAAAATCGATTTTGTCAAAAATGTCTCAAACGAGTTTTTGCGGATTCATCGATGAAGAGTTTTGTAAATTTTTATCTATTTATTTTTATTTATGCGTATTTTCAGTTATGTTAATGGTTTTATGTTAATTAAATGATAAAAGTATTTAATGTTTTTTATTTAAGGAAAAAACCTATAAAAATTTCATAAATGTTTTGTATGAAACATTTCTGTTATGTTCTGAAAGTAAATATAAAATGTCTTAAAGACATACCTACAACATTCTAAGATGATCTCAAAACATCCCAAAAGGATGGCCGAGGGACGTTAAAAAGGGCGACATGGTCATTGCCAGAAACATTTCTGGTATATCTGTGGGAAAATAGGGTCATTCCTGGGATGTTTCTATTGTCGCATGCATATGTTTCTGGCATGTTTCTAGTATATACTTGTGTTATTAGGGATGGATTTTATTTCTTGATGAAACCTTTCACCATGCTCATCAATCAGGTCACCAAGATTTTTGGGAAAAAAATGGGCATATTTTAATGATTTTTGCTTCTTTTTGGTAAAATAGTAAATACTTAATTCTAATTTTGTCCAAAAAATTGACTTTTTCTCGATATTTGGCCCCATTGCACCTAAACTTATTGACTAATTGGGCATTTATACAATTACATTTGTTATTATGTTAATTAGGTTTAATTTGACATCTGTTGTAATCAAATTGGCCATTTCAAACTCGAGATATATCCCAAATAGTAAAACCGGCATCAAAAAATCAAAGACAATTTTTTATTTGGAAAATCTTGCCATAAAAAAAAATTTTATTGTCATTTTCGAGTTTAGCAGGCCAAAATACATCAGAAAAAAATAGTCGCACTCAAGGTACATTTTGACTGTAAACCAGTGTTATTATTATATTGTATTAATTTATTATTCATTCATATTTTTATAGAAAATAATACTAATTATGAATGTTTGAAAAAACAATGCAATTTTCAGTAAAATTCTGTAGTAAACTTTTTTAATTTCTTCAATTGCTATTTCCTGTATGTTTAATAATAGCTATTCAAAATAATATTTTGACCAAAAAAATAAATTACAATTATTTTGAAGAATAATTATTATTAATATATTTGTTATAGACAAGAATTATTAAAATGGAATGGCTGGGGTTACAATGATTCAAAGTTTGTCTACAAAAATGGAGAGGTTTATTTTACAGGAAAAAGGTAAGATTTACATATTAAAAAACTATAAGTATTTTTTTAATGTAGTGGTAACAATTTCACTATTAAAAAAAATCCTCCAAGATTTAAAAACCAAGAAATAAAATAAATTAGAAAATACATTACACAAATACCGAAAAATAGTGCTTAGGTAAAATTTTTAATGAAGTAAAAAAAATAAAACAATTATATACAATTTATTGGTTGAATGTAAATAACGTGTCAATTTTATAATTAACCCATTGGTTTTTGAGATAAGAAAAACAACAAACTAGATATTTAAATCCCTTTTAATCAATTTGTAATATTTGTTGCCTATAGGCATATAGGTATACCTACATTGAACAAACCTCACGAAATGTTTCGTTTAAACAACAAAACAAATTTTAAAATCCTTAAATTTTATTTTTCATATTTTAATTGATTTTTTATTATAAAAAATAATGGAAAATCGTAAATAATTTAATTAAAACCAACGTGTAAAAGTTTATTACTTTATACAATTATTTTCGATTGTTTGGTAATAATAAAAAAGTTATTTTTATTAAAAAACTAATCTGCCTTATTTGAGTATGTAGTGTGTGTCATAAGACACAAATTTTTTGTCAAATAAATATATTTCCAGTTTCCGGACACAATAAAAAAATAATTTTCATTTTCTTTAAAAGCAGGAATTAATTAAAAAATATTTACCTTTTTCTTCTTACATTTATGAAATTCGGCAACGTTGTATAGCATTTATTTAAAATTATATTTTTATTATTGAAATATGTGGATGTGGAGCAAATAAAAAAAATAGTTTTCAGACTTAATTATTTAAAAATAAAATTAATAATTGATAACTTTTTAACGGAGATAAAAAGGTCGATAATTGGTAAACAAAAGCTCAAATAAAAATTATTTATTTGAAAAATGTTTGTTTGAGTAGACATTTTTAGTAAACAAATAATTAAAATTTATTGTAATATTTAATAAATCAATGAAATTATTTAAAAAAATCAAATAACATTTTTTATCAAGGTATGCCATTGGGGAAAGAAGACTTCCTCACCTAATTGACTGGGTAACCAGCAGGCTAGGGGTCGATTTGGACCACCCTGTATACTCCCAAAACGTACCTTCAGAAGATAAATACCCCAAAGTTAACATCACCGAAGATAATTTGAAGGATTTTGAAAAGTTAAATGTTGAAATTTCCACAAAAGGTAAATATTAATCATAGGAATTCTAGAGTGTTAAAGTCATGCTTAAAAAAAATAGAATCATATTTTAATCGTAAATGTTTTAAATGCAAAAGAAAATTGAACTAGGTTTTTTAAAATTATAATAAATAATAATCCATATATGGAATATAAATTTTATTTCAAATTTAATGGAAAAAAATAGCGGATTATTATTTAAAATTATGTCTAGGCAATATAATAATTATTTAAAATTATAATTATTTAATTATTAAATATACATTTCAATTTAATACGCATTTAAATAGGTATTTTATATGAGGTGCCGTTTGTTATATATAAACTTTAAATTTAATAAGTTATAGAACATATGTATTTAAATTATTTCAAAATCAATGTTATTTCTTAAATGTTTAATTATTGCATAAAAGCTTAAAAGTTAAATGAAATGTGCATAGAAAGAATGGTAAATAGTAGGTAGGTAGAATTATTGAGTTTAAAAATAAATATGTTAATTTATTAGCAAAACCCGAATGCCTCCGAACAATTACAATGGAGCATTCAAATGGACATTACTTCTTTCCGTAACTGTACAATGTACAGTGTACATCAGGGCTGGATGCTCCCGTGTACGAGTTTTGGTTCGTCCCGCGCATGACGTCACTTGATGAGTAGTTGCCGTGAGAATACACGAATAATACTAATATTATCAAAGAAAATAGAGAAATATCTGGACATAGTGCGTTTTTATTAAACTTAATATTGAAGAAAGTGTTATAATATGGATAATAGATGCTTTCAGTCCTTGATAACATTTAGGGCTTTAGTTTAAGCGTTGGTGTTTTAAATTAAACTTATTTATAGTCACTGTCCAGAAAATGTTTATAGGAAACAGAAGCGGTCTTAACTTTAATATTGTCTATTCTTTTTGTGGTATTTAAACACTGTTTCCACAAATCAAACTTCTTCGGGAATCGATTAAATTTAATGTTTTTATTAAAAAAAAAAAATTCTTGGGCTGGTTGTCCGAATTGCATCCAAATATGCCAAACCGCATTTGTAATAAATTTAAATGGCACGACACAAACTAAAACACAAACAAAACAAGTTAACGCAACACAAAAACAATAATAAACAAACAGAACAGGTTAACACAACGCAATAACAATAATTTGAACACTGAAAAGTAATTCTAACCTTACCAAACACAAAAACAACAAGTTAAACAAAAAATAGAGCAAGTTAACATCCAACAGCATTGCAAAAACAAGAATTTTAGCAGCAAATAATTAAAAAGCACGTTAAAGATTTAAAAACACTCATCAAGTGACGTAGTTAAGCCCCGCCCAACATGCGCACCATCCTATCTTAAGGTGTATGTATCTTGACTGAGCATTAACTTTGGCGCCAATATGCGGAGAGATTCGGGTTTTGATCTTCTATCGATTTAATTATAGAAATTATTTCTATGTATATAATTCACAAAACTAGAAGGTTCTAGTTTTGTGATATAATTATATGACGTAGATAAATTAAACATACCTTCCATTTAAAACTTCTTTATCTCTGATTTGAACTACTGCAGTAACTGCAGTGCAGTTGCCACTTTCGGCCGCACATTTGCAGCGTCATTACAGCATCATTTTTTATTAGAATTAAAATTATGCGGACACATAAAACTAATTATGATGGCACGCCGTTTTACTTTTTAATTGTATAAGGAATATTAAGTTAAATATTAATGTTCCACAAAAATATTGCACACAGAAAATAACATTAAATAAATACAAATTCAACATCTTTTATAAATATTTAAAAAAATGTTGGTAACAGTTTTTTTTATTTGGACTCGTTGGTAGCTTATGCGAATTTGATTTAGTAGTATTTTTAATATTTATAAAATGGTACTTCTGGTGAAGACCTTAATTAAATACTCTCGACAATGTCAAATTGACAGTACTATTTATTATTGATAATTTCCCAGTAAGCACAAATCATTTTTTATTAAAATTAAAATTATGCGGACACATACAACTAATTATGATGGCACGCCGTTTTTCTTTTTAATTGTATAAGAAATATTAAGTTAAATATTAATGTTCCACAAAAATATTGCACACACTCGGAAAACAGTCGGCCTTCGCTCGGCATAGCCGGTTGACCGCCGCGGCGGTTCGGCACGGTGTTCTTAAAGGCGCGATAAGTACAACAAAAATCACGAAAAAATCTGTTGGGTGGGATTTGTTTCACTTTTTTCTAGTTTTTAGATATGTTTTCATCAAAATGCTATTTGCTCGGTTTTTTGAGTTATGTCATTTTTTGACATTTTTGAGTTATGTCATCGCTTTGCATATTTTGTAAACAAGCTTACCGTCAAGTATTTTAAAATTAAAACAAACCTGAATAGTACTGTAGGTACTATTAGTACAGGAGTTGAAAACCCAACTAAAGATACCTTTTTATTTAAAAATGCCTCCCATAAAGAAAACAGAGTGAAGGTTTGCGCTCCTTGTGGTACAAAAATCATTTTTGGAAAGAAAAAAGCAGCAGACTATCTTATAACTGAAAAATGTGAATCATTAATAAAACGTTTTATGAATCCTGATTTTAAAGCATCTGATGTCCATCGAGCATTTGTACAACATGTCGTTTGATCCTTTTTGAGCACGAAAAGCAACAAACCCGAAAACCTTTACCGAAAATGCCCAACTACACAGATATAATTTTACCAGCAACAACACGCTTAAATAAAAGTGACCAATGTAATTGTTACATTTGTTTAACCGGAAGATCCACCATACATCCTAAAACTCATAAAGGCCGAGGTCATTCTAAATATATATCTATAAATATCGAGAAATCGAATGGACTTTATGGCAGCTCAAGCAACACACAGATTCTAAGGGCAACTGAATATGAAGAAGACAAAAAACCTTTAAAAACTTCATTAACTTTATGTAATGCTTGTTATCAAGAAGTGGGCAAAGGTAAAATACATTATTGTGGAACTCTAGTAACGGCTCGTAAAAATGTTATAAAAATAGTTGAAAATCTTCCGGCAATACAACAAGAGCAAATTGCAACTTCTGTTGAAAAATTGACGATGAAAAAAAAAACTGATTTAACCATAAGCACTCTGGGTAAAAAACGAAAAAGAACGCAAAGAAGCTACATTTACTGTTGAGCGACTGGACAATTATCAGGTCAGTGTTCAGGTGTTTGTTTTGAAACAATCAGATGAAAAAAATGACTAATTTTATTAGAAGTAATATTGGTAGATATGCGGTACCCAAAGAATACCTAACTCATATTTCTAAAACAGCAAAAACTTTGGAAAATGTTTATCATGAGGGCGTTTTTAAATTTGATGTTGAACATAAATCATAAAGAAGAAAGGCCTGTCATTTGGGCTGATGCTCAAGAACTACTGGATAATGTTGTGGAATACCGAAATTTGATTGGACATTGCAATGTGAAAATAACAGCGGATGGTGGGCAAGGATTTCTTAAAGTTTGCATGTCTGTTTTTCCAAGAAAATCAAATATAGAAGAGATAGACCCAGAATCGAATGAGATAGACTCCCAACCTAAAAATCATACGTTGTATTCTGAAGGGGGTACTTGCAGTAATCAAAATAAACTAACCAGTATTAGTAAGTTAATAATGGTTTGCATTGTGCCACAAATCAAAGAAACTTACGAAAATATTCAATTATTGTTTGATCTGGTAAAACTAAATCAAATTTCGTTTAAGTTTGTTTCAGACTTTAAGTTAATTTTAATGGTTAATGGACAACACACAGCAACATCTACCTTTCCGTGTCCATACTGTTTTATATCCTTAAATGAACTAAGAATGTACAATGACCATGATATTTTAAGAAACAAACAAGACAATAAATCGTATAATACAGCCCAAGATGAATCAATAAAAAATAATCTTAAAACTTACGGTGATTTAAAAAAGGATTATCAACAATTTTTAAATTTAAACAAAGATAAAAAATTCGCAAAACAATGTCACAGTACCATAAATCCACCGCTTTTTGAAGAAAACCAGAGCGTTTCTGTGATTGAAAAATGTGTTATTCCTGAGTTACATGTGCTGCAAGGGTTTGTAAACCATTTATTTTGGAATGGAATAGTTGCTCTTGTTGGAAGAGAACAAGCACTGAAATGGCCTGAAAAGATTAATGTTGTCTCAAAGCATTACCAGGGAGACATTTTTGAGGGAAATGCTTGCCGAAAGCTAATTAAGGAAGCCGATAAACTAATGGACAGAGATTACCAAAAATGTTGGTCCTTTAACACTCGTTCCAATTGTGTCGGCCTTTAAGGCTATGGACAAAATTGTCCAGGCACCTTTTTCGACTGAAAAACTGTATGAAAATAAATAAGAAAAATATATTAATGACCTAAACACTGCTTTTAAAGCTACCGGAGTATTGCTTTGAAAATTCATGTTATTCTTAGTCATATAAGAGAAAGTTTAAGTATTTTGGAAGATGGGTTAGGTTTGTGGTCGGAGCAATCTGGAGAAAATTTTTAAAACACTGGGAAAAGTACAAAGTAAATTCCTTTGCGCATAAGTCTTACTTATCAAGGTTAAAAATGGCAGTTGTGGAATTTTCTTCACGCCATCTCTAAAATTTTGTAATTTTTGGTAAAATTTCAAATTATTTTTGTTTATTTTCTTTGTCGCATAGTTAAAAATAAATTTATTTCGTATTTTTCTTTTTTTATTCGTATTTTTATGGATTTTTTTATTTTTAATGTAGTAGTCCAGTTGCAACTGGGTTTTAAAAAAATGCACACACATTAACCGCGAAGAGTACAAAAACGCATTATAGCTTGCCTGAGGGAACGCAATAGGATGTTCAAACTGTTAAAATCCGAAAAAATTAAATAACTCAAAAAACCAAGCAAATAGGATTTTGATGTAAACATATCTGAAAACTAAAAAAAAGCAGAACAAAACCCTTTGAACAGATTGTTTCGTGATTTTTGTTATACTTATCGCGCCTTTAAGAACACTGTGCCGGCTTGCCTTAGCCGGCCCGCGTTATGTTACCCCGGTACCGTTTAGCCATGTTCTAACCGAAGTCGGCCAGAATACGGCATGCAGCTGCAAAATCCTTCGGCTTGCCCTAGCCGGCCCGCTTACGGCTGGAATACGGCCTGCCGCGGCATAAGCGATACATCTCACGGCTGCTTAGTCCCCATCTCCATCCTCATCTGCTCAGTAACGAATAATGTCTAGCTAGTCGAGAGTGTTAAAAAAGTATCTTGCCATTCAGAGAATTTCAGGACTGAACTATATAGGATATACCTCTCCAGGACGTCTGTAAGCTTTTTTGAATGGCCAGGCGGTTGTGGCCGGCACTCGGCCAACTATATACACAGCCGACACGGCCGAGTGAACGTAGCCGACATTCGGCCAGGCTTATATGTCCGACAGTTGGCCAGGCGGACATGCATACGGAATGAATACGTGTGTCGGGTCGCACGTGGCCGTTTTTGGGGCCGTATGTGGGTATTATTTTTTCAGTTTAATTTATTTTTTAAAGTATTAATATTTAACTTAATATGTATTTATATATCAAAACATACTTAAGAAGGTGGAAAAATAGAAATATTTTTCTTTTTAGGTATTGACAGATTGGTGAGATCCCATGGCCACACATTACACGACATTTTCATACTGAGAAATTCGATATTCGAAAGGTTACCCGACGTTATCACATTTCCAAAATGTCACGACGACGTCGAAAAAATCGTGAATTTTGCCAACGAACGCAACATGGTTGTCATACCTTTTGGAGGAGGAACCGCCGTATCAGGAGCAGTAAGTAGTTTAATTTAATCTCTTGGTATGACTCAAAACTTTTTTTTTAGGTTGAATGTCCACAAAATGAACAAAGAACGATTATATCCCTCGATACATCTCAGATGAACCGAATTTTGTGGCTGGACAAGGACAACCTGGTCGCTTGCTGCGAAAGCGGTATAGTGGGTCAGGATCTGGAGCGCGAGCTGGCCAAACTCGGCTACACCACCGGGCACGAGCCGGATTCGTACGAATTTTCCAGTTTGGGCGGGTGGGTCGCAACCAGAGCCTCCGGTAAGTACAATTTCCATTTGTTAACTTTATAATGTTGCTTTTTTATCCAGGAATGAAGAAGAACGTCTACGGCAACATAGAAGACCTGTTGGTGCACGTAAAACTTGTAACCCCGAAAGGGGTGTTGCAAAAAAATTGCCAGGCACCTCGGATTAGCTGCGGCCCGGATTTCAACCATGTTGTAATGGGCTCGGAAGGATCTCTGGGCGTCATAACCGAAGTTATTTTAAAAGTCAGACCGCTACCGCAGTGTAGAAGATACGGTTCCATCGTGTTTCCAGATTTCGAATCTGGAGTGAAGTGTATGAGGGAAGTTGCCAAACAAAGGTAGGTAAAAAACAATTTTTTTAGTGAAAAATTATTTACAATCTTATTTTACAACAGAACACAAAAATTATTTAGGTACAATCATGGTAGGTACAAGAAAACAAGGTATGTTCTTCAGTATGACGAGTTTTGGTTTACTTTGCGCACCAAAACATCCAAATTTCTTTAAAATTATTCGATTTTTAGATTTAATTGTCGAATAATTATAATTTGAAGGTTACACGTAAAAACTATCTGAGTATTAACATTTCAAGAAAATATTATTAGTAAAAAAAATTTTATATAGTTTTTCAATCAAATTAAATATATTGTTTTAAAGTAAATAATATTTACTAAGCACCTACCAAATAAAATATATGAAAAAAGTGCTGTTGTTAATAATGGGTTTTCAAATAAAATATCGTGTTTTATATCCATTTATATGTCAAATGTTTTCAATAAAATAAAATATCCTGTTTTAAAGCAAATATAAAGAATGAAATGACAAGTGTTAAGTTATAACTTGTATACAACATTAACATTGCAAGAAAAATGTAAACAACATATTTTTTCTAAATTTATTTATTACAAAATTGTATTTACAAATAGTTGCCAAATAAAAACCCTAAATTGGCCACCATGGAGCAAACATTGAACAAAACAAACTAAACTTGTTAAAAATATTATATTTTGGGATGTTAAATCCCGGGGCATTTCATTATCAGCAGCATGCTGCAGTTTGAGTTTCTGTTATGGACTGCCTTTGAAGATCATCAGCTTCCTTGTCTTGGCACATTTCCTGCACAATGCAAAAAGATTTAATTTTTATTAATTTTGTTTTTCAAATTTTATTTTAATTTCTTACAGTACTTTATTTTAATTTCTGCAGTACTTGAGTTTCTGTTACGGGCTGTCTTCAAAGATCATATTATGCTTTCTGGTTTTGTCCTATTTCTTGTACACTATTAAAAGAACTATGATTTATTTTTTTATTCAATTTTATTTAAATTTCTTACAAAGTAATTGATTTCTATTTTGTAAAGTTGGAACCGTATCTACTTTTAAAGACTTAAAAATTTTTTTATGGGAATGTAGTTTGTATGTTTTTTCAATCCAATCAGGAATTCTTATAGCAACTACCTTTGAAGTAAATGGAACAAATACAAGCTACAAAACAAACAAAAATATCTACCTAAATTATATTTTTAATTTATATAGGTATGTCACAGATAATCTGTATATACAAAAGGAAAGTACCTTTAAAAAACTACAGCTATTAAATTATTAAATTATTAAATTTTAATAGTTTTTGAAATAAATCTACTTACTATTCTTAACATTAATTTTTTTAAGCCCATACTAAGAAAATGTATTGGATTTCCAGTTTTTTTTTCTTTTAGCATTGTTTTTACAGATTTTCACTTGGAAGGTAGACATTTTTTACACTTTGAAAACTTTAAAATAGCTTAAAAAACAACTTCATCAAAATGTAAATAGTCAATATGGCGGCGACTGGGTGCTCCCACCTCTTCGCCAATCTAATGGAGTGGTGGAAACAGATGCTGAAGATTTCCTGCCTCCAAATTGTTTTAGGTAAGGAGATCGCCACCATTTTTCGCTAACCTACTGGCTGACGATCTCCTAAAGCAATGCACTGTGTATTTTGCGGAACTCTTCCCATTTTGTGAATTCCTACATGCTGTTTGGTGCATTTGCCGTTTCTGTAGTCGACTTTGAAAATTGAAGGATTGTAGTGCGGCATATTTTCCATACATAGGTACAACTCTTGAAAGTATTATCGTCTTCCGTGATAGTGAACTTTTGGGAAGATTTATTTTTTGTGTCTTGTAGTTTCACAATTATAAAGCGTCCAACGTCTTCAATGTTATCAATTGCGAAGGAAACAATTTCCTCGCGGCAAGCTAGAAAAATTACTACGATTTCCTTCAGTAAAAATTGACTGTCCGAAGATTCCACAAGGAAACGCGTTATTTGCTTTTGCTGATAATATCATAGCTTATTTTGGTGTATAGAGCTCCGACTTCATCTTCAAGAATGAAAAGCTTTCTATATATGTAAGATAGTTTAAAATAAGTTCATCAACAAGAAGTTAATCGTAATACTTACTTAGAAATCTTCATAATTTACTGTAGTTTGAGACACGTTTTTATCATCGAAATTTTCGTCCATAAAGTGTTAGGAACGTTTCCAATAGCTATCAATAGCACAGTATACAGTTCTTTATACTATAGCACAGTATACAGTTCTTTATACTGTGGTTTAAGTACTTCTTTGTCTTAAGTTTTCATAACGACTGCTGAGTTCGATTATTGCATTTTCGACGTAGGGTCTATAGGTTTCTAGGTTTCTATGTTTATTTATGTCTCGGTTAGTTTACAGACTTTTGTTTATTGGAAAAGGTCTTTTAAATTTATGGATTTTTTGACTTACTTACTTGGTGATTGATTTATTTGTCTTGCTTAGCTGTAATCCTACGAATGCCAGCGATAAGATTTGGGGCGGCTTGGATGTATTGTTTTGTTACTATTGTCTTATTATCAATGTTGCTGTTGCTCTTTGTTTTACATTGTTTTTTTTTAGTTTTTTTTTACTAGGGTTGCGTTTAAGGGGAAAGAACCGCTCTTAGGGCTGTGTAGGTATCTGAACGGGGTTAATGTTGTAAATTTACGTATTAGGTCATGCATTCAGTTATAAGAATACTTATCAAATGTTTGCAGATGGCCCTTTCCACGCTTGATTAGCCTCGTTTGTTCTTCACATAGAATGTTTCATATTGTCAGGTGGTTCATCCGCCATTCACTGTAGATACAATGCATTATAGTTTATTTGCACTGTAGGTGTAGTTTATTGTGGGACGTACAATTTTGGGTTCAAGCGAGGTCTCAGTTACTATGTCTTACCTCGTCAAGAATTCTAACGTGACTGGGAAACAAACCATAGTTATTAAAAAAAAAATAGCCGCGATTATTATTCTTTTAATTTCAAGATGCCAACCTGCGTCCATCCGGCTCATGGACAACGACCAGTTCAAGTTCGGCATGATCCTGAAACCGGAGGAGAGCTTTTTCACCTCGATCATAGACGGCGTGAAAAGGCTCTACGTGACGAAGATCAGAGGTTTCGATCCCGACAAGATGTGCGTGATGACGTTGCTGTTCGAGGGCGACGATTGCGACGTCAAAAGTCACGAGAAGAAGGTGACCTCGATCGGGATGATGTTCGGAGGGTTGCCTGCCGGGGCCACGAACGGCGAGCGGGGCTACATGTTGACATTTGTCATCGCTTACATCAGGGTGAGTGCCGTTTGACTTTTATCCTTTAAACCACCAGGAATAACATGTATAAAACAATTCGTTTGTGCAAATAATTTCAATCCAACAAGGTCAATTTCAGGACTTGGGCCTGATGTACAACGTGGTTGCGGAGTCCTTCGAAACGTCCGTGCCGTGGGACAAGGCCCTGAATCTGGTGAGAAATGTAAAGCACACGGTCAGTGTGGAGTGCCAGAAGCGCGGCATCACGCACTACGTGATAAACTCGCGCGTCACGCAGACCTACGACGCGGGATGCGTGATCTACTTTTACCTCGGGTTCAACCACTCGAAGATCTCGGATCCCGTGGCCGTTCACCACGATATCGAGACTGCGGCCAGGGACGAGATCGTGTCGTGCGGCGGCAGCATTTCTCACCATCACGGGGTGGGAAAGCTGCGGAAAAAGTGGTACCCCGCCACTGTGTCCGAGGTGGGCGTCAAGCTCTATCTTGCCACCAAAAATGAGCTCGACCCCAAGAATATTTTCGCCACCAATAATCTAGTACAAGCCAAACTCTAATCTAGTCGATTATGTTTTTAGAAACTCTACTTATTTTTTAGTTTATCGTATTACTTAACCAAAAACTTATTGTTTGTATGTGATTTGATCTAGTATTTTTGTTGCCATAAAGTAGTTACCAAAAATTAGTAAAGTATTATTTTTTTGTTGTTAGTTTTGTAATGTTTTTACGAATTTAATAAATGACCACCATATAATTGTTGTATTTATTAAAAAACCTAAGATAATTCATAACTTTACTTTAAGCGATGGACAATGGTGAAAAAGAGCTTTTGTCCAAAAACCTCTAAACTGGCAGCAATGTTCATGAATATTTATGTAAATGAGGGCTTAACCCAATGGAAAAGTTATCAGTGAACCACCTAAAATTCTTTATAAGCGATTATAAATCCTTATGAACCTTTCAACTCCAATTAATTGAACACTGTAAAATGACACGGATTTTTTTTTCAAAGTTACCTTGAGAACTTTACTATTTAAACTAATGTCTCGCTAAAACAATTAAATGAATGAAATTGTGGTTATGTTTTTTCATTTACTTGAAGCGCCATATACTTACCACAAGTAAGTAAGTAAGTATATGTGAAGCGCAGCTACGAACGCCATCTATTCAAACTAATCCAAAGTTGTACGAATTTTGATTTTTCGGCTATTCCTTTCGGTTTTTCCTAATGTATTTTTATTTAAATCAATATTAAGGCGAACAAAACAAAAAAATATTTAAATCGGTTGATCCATTTCCAAGTTTAATAGTTATAACTATTAAACTTGGAAATGGATCAACCGATTTAAATATTTTTTTTGAATATATTTAATTTGAAGCGCAGCTACGAACGCCATCTATTCAAATTAATTCAAAGTTGTACGAATTTCGATTTTTTTTGATTTTCCGGCTGTTTCTTTCGGTTTTTCCTAATGTATTTTTCTTTAAATAACCCCTGTATTAAGACGAACAAAACAAATTAATTAATGCAATGAATCTTTATCATGCAAACATTATTCAGAAGAATTATAACTTACTTAAGTAAAGAAAACTTAAGGCATTTCAAATCAAACATTTCAGCCAAAAGGAAAAGTAAATTAAAAAGGTGGTTGTTACCTTATTTATTGGCTTTAAAGCTACAAGTAATGAAGTTATAAAAGCACTAAAAGTAAGTATAATTTTTCTTAAATTTTGGTCTTAGGCTAGTGATAAATATTGGGTCTGAACTAACCAAAATGCCATGAAAAATGTCTTCATTAGTAGCTAAGTAGGTAAGAACATTTCCTAACATGAAGAATTTATAATCTTTGTTCCAACACTCTTGAGCTTCCTCTGAGAGTGAGCTGCACATTTAAAAATCTCTGCCCCGTAAAAAAGAAGAGGTGACAAATTACCTTCAGAATCACTCCAAGTCTTCTTATCAAGTTTATCTATTTTTGTAATGTCAGCCACTAGTAAAGGAAGAGAAGGAGAAGCAGCTGCAACGATAAGTTCTTTGGCATATTGTGCACTTTTAGCACACTCCGAAAATGTTTTGCAAGACCTGCCTCCAACATTACGTTCACAAATGGAGTTCTTAGATTTTACAATAAATTCACCTTTCGGCCATTTTTCGTATCGTTTTAGGAACTTTATCTTGCAGTAGTGTACATCCTTTTTTTCTTAATATTAATAATAAATTTGTTGGAAATCTTTTATTTATTGGTTCATCTGGATAGCTTTCTCTAAAGAGAACCAACTTCTAAACAGTATTTCATACGTAATCACTAATTCTGCCATATTAAAACACTAGTCACAACATCAATAGAATAAGCACAAAATAAAACTGCATATACATATTTCTTTAAAATTCGATACTTAAGGGAAAGGATGGAAAGATTAAAAAATCCAATGTTTGTAATAAGGTACCCTATTGAAAATGCCATATAGAACCATATAAAAAACACGTATCTGGATTCTATATGGTTTCTATCTGGTTCAATATAGATATTTGAAACAGGCATTTCACTATAGAACCAGATAGAAGATTACATTATAGAACCAGATAAAAACACTCTAAAACACTATAGAACCAGATAGGGAAACCTATCTGGAAATACATATAGAACAGAAACCAGATAAATCCATATACATCCATATACATGTCTTTTTAAAGACATGTATATGGTTGTATATGGATTTATCTGGTTTCTGTTCTATATGTATTTCCAGATAGGTTTCCCTATATGGTTGAATATGAAAATTTTTAAAATGGAAATCCATATTCAACCATATAGAATCCGTAATGTAAACCAGGACTTTCCATATAGGACCTATAAAACCATATAGAACCAGATACGTTTCCTTATCGGATTCAATATGGGTTCTATATGGCATTTTCAATAGGGTAAATAATTTTCATGTAATTCGTAATAAATTACCTATCCATATTTGTAATTTGGTAATTTAAATTAGGGATTAAGTTTTAAATACACATTGACAAGTTTTGGTTTTATGGCGTTTTAATCACAGGCTGAAGTTAGCTTTAAGTTAGTTAATAGTTGTCAAATGTCATACAATCGTTAAAATTATTTTAATATCTCAATACAAAAATACAAGAGCATTAAATAGTTTCTCAACGCCAATATATGAACATTGTACTGACCTTTTAATTTCGCCGGCAGTAAACTAGATATAAATTAAAGTCGTGCTCGGATTCCACCGTTTGCTAATAAAACATTTTCTCATCTTTCACTGTGAAAAACTGTTGTTTAATTCATTTTCCAGGGATACATTTTGATTTATTATCTATGTTTATAACAAATACAAATTTGACATTTGTATTCCCCTATTGTTTTATAGATGACGCTCTATTCAAATACTTAATTTAAATCATTTTTAGATAATAATAAGTATTTGTCGAAGAAAAAGTATAGTAGGCATGCAACTCGTTTATAAACTTGATACATAATATACTATATACCCTTTAAACAATAATATCAAATCTTTTATAGAAGCTAAATAAATCCCCAAACAATTCATTAGAAACTGCGAAACTTCTTACTGATATTACAAAATTCCCAGTTTTATTGATATTATATTTCGTAAATATATTTAATATGTAAAATTAAAATGGTTATATATTGTAAATGTAAAGGTATTTAAAAATGTTATTAACCTATTTTAAAATTGGACCACCCGATAAACTTTGGGTGGTTTTGGATAGTTTCTACCCCGTCACGTGTTGGATAGTTTCTACCACGTCACAAATTAACACCGTCTCACAGGAAATAAGAAAATAATTTATTTAAAGGTACTTGAAAACAACACATTAAAATTAATTTTTCGGGTAATTGAAAACTGCCCAAATTCGATTGGAAAATTTAAATCTGCATAAATCCAATAAATGGGAGGACAAATTTCCAGTGGGACAAATGTAAAAAATTGTGGGAAAAATTTTAATCAAAATCAAATGTTCAATTTTTTTTAAATATTTATATTTTCAAAATATTTAAAAAAAACTTTAATAAATGCATTTGAAACATTTGAACCAAACATACAGACTGACAATATAGCGAGTTAATTTAATTAATTATTAGAATGAATAACATTGTACCTATCTAAAGCACACATTCTCCATTAATTTATAATTGAATTTATTAAGGTTATTTGTATACATTTTGATTTCGTTTGTGGTTCAATTCATTTAAAACTTTAGATTTATATCTCATGAATATGCGAAATTTGAGTTGTTTACTTATCTTATTTCTCTGTTTGGGTCCAAACGCACAAAAACATTAATTGAAATAAGGGTGAATAACAGAAATTCGATATAATTTATTGTTTTATTGGACAGTACAAAAAGTTACATAAATTATACTAAATTTGCTTTAAAACTATCTACATATTTCGAAAGTCTGTTCAGTATTTTTTTACCAAAAAACCCATCATTTAATTTTTTCCTAACCTTTATGTTGGGAACACCCTGTATAATATTTAAACATTTTATTTAGGTATACCTGTTTTATACCTAAGTATTTCCCCGAAAAATTGAGTATTGGTGTGTCCTTATCTAAAAAGAGACAGTCTATGTCTAAAAATACTTATTAATAGTAGATAAATGCATCTAAAGTTGATAATCTCACATACTTTTATAATATTGTCAAGCCGTTAATTTTAGTTCTCTGTGTTATTTAGGTACTGGTAATGAATTTAATGTTTTTGTTAAGTTTTCTATATATTTGTTATTACTTTATTTAAGGGTTGCTAAATTTATTTCATAACTATGGAACATCTTTTATCTGACATCGAGAAACTTAAACTTACTTCTAGAACTGTGGAGGTTCCAAAAATAATAAGAAAAAATGAAAAATTTTTGAGTGAATTGCTCGTATATGCTCCGGAATTCAAGTCATGGAAAAATCAGACATTTGATAAAGTTTTTCATTTGGTTTTGGACAATTTTCACAATGTTACTTCTAAATATGATGAAACAAACACTTCATTAAAAGGTCAATACTACAATCTAAACACGTCATACGCGTTGAAAATCCTTTTCTTCTGGCGCAGTATTATTTAAAGAAAGAACAGTTAAATCGAAGAAATAATATGGAAATGGAATTGGAAAAGCAATTTTTTCATGGAACGCAGGGTTCAAACTTAATACCAATTTGTTTAACAAATTTTAATTGGCGTGAGTATTAGGGTGGGCCGAAAAACGTAAAAAAAATGAGATATTTATTTGGGGGTGTCAATAAGAGTTGCCTTATTTCAAAAGTAATTTGTAGAAAAAAATGTAGCGTACTAGCCCAATATTTAAGGGTCCCCCGGGGGCCCAAAATATTTTTTTTGTATGTTTGAACTGGGGTAGGAACAAAAATTTACCTAATGTTAACAGTGATTCTAGAAAAAAATGCTCTAATTTGTTACTACAAACTTTTTTTTGGTACCCCTAAATTGAATTCAAAAAATAATTTTTTCGGCCGACCCTAGTGAGTATACAATAAAGATACAATTTATCTCATTACTAATATATTTTTTTTAGGCAAGGTTAGAGCATCAAAATTTGGAAAGGGTATAAGTTTTTCACCAAGATCCGATTACTCCAAGCATTATACTCGAGAATTTTGTATTTCAAGTGTGTTAAGTCTACAACATTATCTAAAAGAGCACAGCATTGAAAATGGAAAATTTAATTCAATGTTTTTTACAAAAGTTCTTAAAGGTAAAACTTAT